CCTCATCCCCTCCCTCAGTCAAGCAAAACCCTAATTCGTGATCTTGAGCCTTTTGAGTGTGTGTAAGTGAAAAGTGATTCTTTGGTATTTCCTTGAAGGAGTGCAAGCTAAAAGTGCTTGGTTGAAGGAAGAAGCCTTGGTTCCATAGATTTCGTTGTCAAAGCAACCTTATTGAGGTATAAAGTCTATACCTTGACTATTCATTTACTAGATCTCGTCATGGAGTAGTTTAGGGCCTTAAGGAGCCTATTATGGAACCATTCATGTATGAAATCATGTTTTGGAGTCATGACTTCGGATCTAGAGCCCTTGAGGGACTCCATGGCATAAAAGTGCCAACTTTATGGCCATGGGAGTCCCATTCAACTTGTGAACCACTTTTTAGGGCTTTCTAAGCTAAATAACCCATGCAAGGACATCAAGTTAGAAACTTTACGTGATATATCGACCCTAGGGAACCAGATCTATGATTTGGATACATTAAGCACAATAGAAAGTGACTTAATGGATATAAGCTATGGGGGGACTCGACGATTTGTTCATACGACTTGGCGAATTGGGTTATGGTCTCCCAACCTTTTCTGTTACTGAGTAAACTCGTTGAGTCTAGAAGATGACTCAACGAGTTAGCCATGGTTTTGGGTTATGAAGATTAAGGAAATCAATGAGTTCAAGGAAGGACTCGGCGAGTTGTGAGTGAAAGGCCCCGACTATGTTATGAAGATTGAGGAATTCAATGAGTTTGAGTTGAAGGAAGAACTCGGCGAGTTGTGGGAGAAATGTCCCAACTATATATGAAAGAGAACTCGACGAGTTCAAGGAGGAACTCGACGAGTTGTGAGTAAAAGGTCTTGACTATGTTATGAGCAAGAATTCAACGAGTTCATGAAAGAAGTCGACGAGTAGGATCAAGGTTTCCAGGGTTGTATGAATCATGGAACTCGACAAGTTCATGAAAGAACTCGATGAGTAGGATCGAGATTTCAGGGTTTTATGGATTATAGAACTCGAAGAGTTGATGGACCAACTCGGCGAGTTGAGTCAACCAGGATGTTGACTTTAACTTTGACTTTGACCAATGACCAGAGTTGACCCTTAAAGAGGTTATGAGTATGAAAGGGTAATTAAAGGAGTTTGTTATGTGTAGGAGTTTGAGAGGAGTTGATGTCAGCACCGAGGGCAGTTCAGCTACTACGCGACATTGAGGTGAGTTACCTTCCAGTAGAAGTGGGTTAAAGGCACCAATGCCTACCAACTAGTAAGAGTTATAGTAGAGATGATTGTCTTTGTGATAATTATCTGGTATGTCACTATCTGTTATGCTTTACGTACTAATATTCTACGATGTTATGTGATAATGGTAGGAGGGGTAGGATATACCCCATTACCGGTCGAATGGGTATGCCAGCACCCAGATAAGCTAGGCAGTATATGATTTATATGATTATGCACTAGGATGCTATGTGGCAGAGTATGGGTGAAATAGTCCCCAGTACTGGTCTAAAGGACCGAAGGAGTAGGACAGCACCTTGATATGCTAGTCGAGGTATCGGTCGAAAGGACCGAAGGGGTAGGCTAACACCCTGATATGCTAGGCTAGGTACCGATCGACAGGATTGAAGGGGTAGGCCAGTACCCTGATATGCTAGGTCGTTACTGGTTGGAAGAGACCGAAGGGGTAGTCCATTACTCGAATATGTTAGATAGTATGTATGCTGTATGGTATGTGGTATAATCGGGGAACTCACTAAGCTTTGTGCTTACGGTTTTCAGTTTTTGTTTTAGGTCCTTCTTCTTCGAAGGGAAAGGAGCCGACAGGGTAGCATCATATCATACACACATTTTTCCGCATATGAGATTCTTGGGATTGTACTCTGACATCGTTACTATCATATGACATGCTTTTGAGACATATGAATTATGGTTTTATGAAATGAAATAACTTAATGATGTTTTCTATAAATTGTTTTATGAATCATTATATCAAAAATGAAATTTTTGGTCTTGAATTTTGGGATGTTACAGATTCCAAGGGATCTAAAGCTCAAATTTGGTCCAAACTATGGTCAAAATGGATAAAGTTTCCAAATTTATCCATTAAGACACCCAAAGAGATATAGATCTCAAACCGTAGGTCCAAATAAAGCCAAAATCCATAATGTCATAACCATTAAGCCCTTAATCCGAAAAGTTCTTAACCTAAACTCTTCCAGAAGCTAAAGGGGGTATCAAAGGTCCATAAAAATGAGTATTTCGTGGGCATGCATGGGCTATGCATGTCCTTAACTCAACCTAGGTCAAATGGCAAGTAAATGACCTAAAACTCATGCATAATCCACAAATCACAACCAAAATTCAGATACATAAAATATGATGCTCAAGGGACACTAAAGAGAAATAAAGTTGCCAATTTTATTCTATCTATTCACTCCAATCAACTCTATGAACCAAAAAGGACCAAAACAACCAATACCTATAAGAATAACTCAAAAGGTAGAGTCTTGAATCCTTACAATACACGCGGAGGATAAAAAAAATGCATGTGCCATTTATCCATTATCACGTCGTGGGCATCCTTGCTCCAAGCCGTGGCATTGAGTTTTCCCAAAACTCCATCTTTAGCCTTAGAGAATAAAAGCCAAACCCTACTAGAACATGGATGTTACACCATGAATGAGTTATTGTGAGTAAATGCTACTCCAGAAGTTATGAGATGTTCTTTTTGATGTTTCTGACGTTCCTAGTACATAAAGTTTGCATCTTGATGGTTGTAGATCAACAATGCATGAGATAATGGCCATTTTAATGGAAATAGACTGCTAAATCTAGGGTTTGATTCTCTTTGAGCAATGAAAAGGCATCAAGTTTATGAATTTATCATTTAAGACGCCCCCATGAGTTAGATATGCAATATGGACGCTTGGACTTAAATCATTAATTGCTTAATGGTGTTTTGGCAATCTGGAGCGTACGTTGGGCGTACATAAGCGTACGTTCCTGAGTCCCCGATTTCTTTTGGCGCAAGCTAGTATGCGGGGCGTATTGGTGGTACGCTTAGCGTACTCACTAGGGACTTTTTTTTTGGGTTATAGGTCGTTTGGTCCATTATTGGGCCTTATGCCTTTTTAGGCCATTTTTGGGTTGTAGGTCTCTTGGGCCTTGTTGGACCTTAGGTCTTTTGGGCTTGGGTCATGGGTTGAGTGGCCCATTAAGTGAAGGGTAAAATGGTCCTTTACCCTTAGCATGTGGTTGGTAGTTTAAACCTTCTATGAGTTATTACCCTGAGTATTAATTAGGGTTAACTTGAAATGTTCAGTGTGAGGATCCGTAGTAGTAGTAGCCTGGGAATGTGCATGTCTATCTTCACACTGAGATGACTCTCTTCACTATACTTATGGGTCGAAAACACCAATGTCGGCCCACTGGATTATGTTTGTAGGATGATAGTCTCTTTGTGACACTTAATGATGTATATGTGTGTGCTTGTTGTCTTTGTAACTCTTGCATGTGTATGTATGTTTATATATATATATATATATATATATATATATATATATATATATATATATATATATATATATATTATTGTGGGCGGGGTCCGTATACAATTTGGGTGGGGCGCGTTATGTTGTGGGTGGGGCCTGTATGCGAGTTGGGCCAGACTCGTTTATATGTATTATTATTATTATTATTATTATTATTATTATTATATATATATATATATATATATATATATATATATATATTTTTTTGGGGGGGGGGGGTGGGTAGGTGGGGGGCTCACTAAACTTTGTACTTACAATTTATGTTTATAGTTTCAGGTACATCCAGGTCGAAAGGGAAGGACCCGATTTGATCGCAACACTACCACCCATCCGCACATTTATGATTTTGGGAATTGTAGTCTGGAAACCAATTAACTATGACATACTTTTGAATGGTTGATATGTGATTGTTGGTAATTGGATTGAATTAAAAATGAAAATTTTACTTAGATTTTTGGGATGTTACACCTTACGTCTATAAGGCCGACAATACTTACTATTCCAACAAATTGGTTTTCACATGCACAATCCTTGTATGTGTCACATGAATGCCCTAAAGTGTATCGTTTTCTATATGCAAGACACCCTATCCTACAACTTACACTTATTCTAATTCACCTCCTAAGATTTATTATGTTACATGGACATCGATTGAGGTGGTTGTCCAGACACACAATGCTCCATGTATGGACATTGTGTTATTGTGTTTCCTTGGTGACAATCACAACTCTTGGTCTTCATAGAGGTAGTGTGAAAGTCGTATATCGAGGATTTACAAATGTTTGTCTTTGAAGCATGTTGGTTGGGCAATCTTCTTCTTGTACTACATTGCCCACTTATAAAAAAAAACTATTATTTATTGTGATAATGTTAATGCTATTTACCATGTGAGAAATCTAGTTCAACGTGAACGCACAAAGCATATTGAAAATGACATTAACTTTGTTTGAGAAAAAATTGTTTGGGGTGTATTTGAGTGTTGCGTGTCCCATGAAGGTACCGACTAGTGGATGCATTCACAAAAGGTATTCTATTTGATGATTTTCGAGACAGTCTAAACAGACGACCATCAGATACTATTAGTGATATCTTACCACCTTATTTGATGTAGACTATAACTTATCTTTAGATTGACTTTCCTTGTAGATAGCGAAATTATTTTATATATAGAGGACCCTTTGAGATTAATTGCATGAAGGGTTGCATTACCTTAAAGATTAGAGCGTTGGAAGATGTTAGATTAGATGTCACATGAATTATGGCATATCGAAATACTAACGAACCAACTACTTTTTTTAGTTCATGGGCATATATTGCAATGTACAATATGTTAACAAGAAACAAACTCAAAATGCAATATTGTTTAAAGAGAAAATAACAAGTATGAAGGCATATGAGCATATGAGGAATAATGAATTGCTCTTTATTAAAAAGCGTAAGATATATATTCTAGAGCCAATCACAAAATGAAAATTACTTAAATCTAATTATAAGAAAAAATACAATCGTCTTCTTCATAAATTACATAATTCAATCAAATTTATAGTAAATAACACATTGATAACATGTTCCATCATTTAAAACAAATTTGATTGATTTCCTCTATTCCATAAAAACCGATACACAATTTCAACTCAAGATATCGAGTATCCCCTCTTCCGAGACCTCGACTTGTGTTGTTTCCCACTTGTGGGACCCGCAAATATTCCAAATTTTCTCGATATCGACGTCAAAAACGTTTTCCCATTTCTCGATTTATCCATCATTCCTTGTTTCATACAAACTTGTTCCTTTTCCAAATCACTTAGTCTTACTCGCATTCTTGAAATCTCTAATTTTAGGTCACGGTTCTCTCTTCTTAGAGACGCGTATGTGTCGCGTGGCGACATGGGTGCACTGGGTGCACCACTGGGTGCACCGGACATGTAGCCAGAGAAGGCTGATGGTCCGGTGATGGCGGTTCGTAGGCGGAGTTGTTCAAAGTAGAGGACCCGAACCGCCATGTGGGCGGGTAGGCGGTCGTTTTGTGCCGCGTGGTTTGATGCTTCTTGAGATAGCTTTTCACAGTCTATGAATTTGCATAGTCTTTTACGGTCGTGTTCTGTTAGCGTAGGATGGGCCTAATTGGTCATAAGAATAATAAATAGGAGTGTAAGGTAAACTTTTTTGTTTCCTTTTTTATCTTCTGTTAAATGTTGTCTTGATATAAACATTGACATGTTATGGATAAATGACCTTTAAAAGAAAACATTGACATGTTACTCATACATCTTTTTTCTTTTTTTCTCTTGTGTCGTCATTTACTCATACATCTCTTATATATTATTAACTATACAACAATATGTGTTTCTTTTTTATTTGATGCAGAAAAACACCTTAACAAATTTTGCTGCATTTAGTTTTGTTTGAATTTCTAAGGAACACTTATGGAAGCCAATTTGACCATTATTTATTTTGCAATTTTTTTTGCACTATATAACATCATTTTCAAAAAAATTATGTCATTTTGCAAAAAAAAAAAAAAAAAAAAAAAAATCATAAAATATGATGTCAAAAAAAGTGATATCATAAATAAGAAATCATTTTAGGAAATTCTATACATACCCCAAATTGTTTTGTACCTTTACGTGTGGAATAATGTTTGTGTACCCTGATAATTTATATGAGTGAGATCCAAATTTTTTCCTAAAATAAGTCATCATTATTTGATAAATGTTGAAAATAATGATAATTTTGCAATATGACCCCTCCATTTTTGGTCATTTTTATGATTAGCTCTATTCTTTTTATATTTTTCCTTTCCATTTCATATTCGTGTTATTCTAAACATCATTTATACAGACAACACTTTATTATGATACCAGGTAAAAAAAAGTTACGCGTTACCTTGAGATATATATCAACCGCTCGGTAAAGTCCATCATCGATAACACGGGCATAATCCGGCAAAACTTCAATCATAGCAACAAACTTTTGAAAACTCAAGTAAGGATCCGGAGCAATTTCCGCCAAATACGCATCCACAATCCTTCCAACTTTTAGCAACGAACTATGACTCGTGGACCCCACACCCCCTTCCGATTCATACCCACAATCATCATCATCTTCCACCTCCTCAATTATCTGCAAAAATTGCACTAAAATCCTATGAATCGTATCAACATCAAACATCGAATCCCCCGTTTGAACACTCGGTATAAGCAAATCATCAAGTGAAACCGATTCTAATCTAACCGCAATCCTTCTCTCAATTCCAAGCCTACACCCAAGACTCGAATCCACCATAATCGCCATTCTCAACATCCCAAAAAGAAAATCTATAGGAATCAATGAGCTATTCTCCATTGGTAATAAACTTTCAAGAGTTTCCAAAATTACCCTTTGCCCCGTTTCCAAAACCGGAATCGTTCTTGCGGGATTCCAAATCCGGGATTTTCCGATTCCCTTTAAAGATTCCCGAGCGTAATACATTATAGATGAAATCACACTATCTTGTCGAATACCTCTACTTACCATTACCGAAATTACCCTTTGATAAAAATCGATTTTTAAACCTGATAAATCTTCAATCCACCATTCTTGGCGTCTACCCTTTTCATCTATCACCCGATTGTCACATTCTAAACGGGATAAACCCGCGACCAATTGCTCTTTACAAGCGTTCTCAGCGATAAAGTCGACTAATTTGTTCACAATCCCGACTTCATCTGCTATGGGAAGAATCATCTCGCAAGAACGTAAAACTTGTATCGATTTTTCAAGATTTTGTGAGACGATCTCGTTTAGGTACGATTCTGTTCGTGTAATTAGGTTTTCGTTGCGGTAATTTTCAGTCATTTCGAGGTATACGGCGGCGCAGTGGAGGTAGGCGACGTTTGCCGGTGTGATTTCGAAATTGACACCGTAGCAGAATTTTGCGGCGAGTTCGAATGCCTCGGGCCCACCGGGGAAGTTGATGAGGTCTAGTTTCGAGAGATTTGTGTCTTTTGTTTCGGCCACCATTTTTCTTATTCTTCCGCTTTGTGATACGAGAGGGAATTTGTGGAGGAGGAAAGAGGTGTCGTCGATTGTGATTGTGATATCTCCGGCGACATCTGAAAAGATACTGGGAAAAAGAAAGGTACATAACAGTTTAATAATACAGGAATCGAATCAAAGTAAATAATGGCATGTTAAGAAGTGAAAAAAGTGTACATTTGTGGATGTACACTCTTAATTAAAAATCTGCTTTATGTTTTGGATGCATTCATCAACATTTATACAAAATTCATAAATCGCAAATCCCTAGCTCGGTGGAAATCGATAGATTCTTGAGGTAACAACAATGGAATCAAGTAAATCAATCATCGATAATCACAATAAACCAGGAAATTTGCGCGAAAACACGAATTACGATCTATGAAGCATATAAGTCGAGGTTACAAAGAGGAAAATGCATACTCAATCTGTTATCTGTACATACCGATTAGCGAAGGAGTTGCAGAACATGGGAGTAGGGGAGGAGCGGTTGTTGTGGTCGGAAAGTACCATCGTCGTACCACCACCAGCAACCACCGTAGAGCTAGTGATCACCACCAGAAAGAAGCAGTTGCGACTTGGAAGATATGTGTATCACTGTATCCGTTTCAACAGCAACGGCAAAATGCAGAAAAAAGATAAACATAAATGGCAGTGACAACGTAACCAATAATGGAGACTACTACAAAGATAATAATGCACTACTTTTCAAGCTTACACAAATGATCAAAATGCACAATTCACTCATCTTCGAAAATAAATACCTTATCTAGATAATTTATTTTTATGTAAACATAGACCCCAGCAAAAACAATGGAGGTCACATACTCACATTTACCGAAAAATCTGGCGTGGAGTAAGAGATTATGTACAAGTAATAATGCATGAAGATACAACCCACAAAGAGCATGCATTGTGTTCACTTTTTGTTGCTGCTGACTGCTTTTCGTCTTTAGGACTGGAGCTCATGTCTGCTTTTGCTTTTCCGTTTCACTTGTCTTAGAGTGTAGTCAAATTTTTATAAATGGTCCCTTTGCTTTCAAAAGTATACGACCAATAGCTTTTATGATGAATTTCTTTGCATAGATAGTGCTCAAAAATCTTTACATGAATAGTCTCCATTTGTTTAGCACCATTCTCTCTCTCTCTCTCTCTCTCTCTCTCTCTCTATATATATATATATATATATATATATATATATATATATATATATATATATATATATATATATATATATATATATATATATATTTCATCGATTAAGAATTAGAGAGTTACCAGGTTTGTTTTAATTCTTTTTCTCAATATGAATTTTATTATCAACGTTGTAAGGTTGTTACTTTTTTTTACAATGATTGCAGTAGACGCTAATGAAATTAAAGTCTTGAGTTAAGCTTAGCGGGTGTCAGGTTTGGATAATTTTTTTTCTTTTAAATTAGAACTACTAATGTTCTTTAAAATTACATAATCGAAGTGAGTAAATTAATCCAATTCTTTAACTGTTTCCTCAAATTTCTAATAGTGTTATTTTAATTGAAAATCTAGAAGAGATTTCTTTTCTGTAGAAGAAATTGTTGCTTTATAAGAGACATTTATTTTCTAATGAAGAAATTGATAATCTTTCGTAATACTAAATTTTAAATTTTGTGTTTATAACAATGATTATAACTATAACACCATAATATAAAAATCATATCTTATTGTAGCTTTATTCATTCCAAATTTCATTTTGTTCTCACTAAAATATTTATTGAAATATAGGATTGAAAACATTATATGATTCATCTATTTATATTATAATTGTAAAGTTGTTTGTACAATTCATTTGTATTTAGATACTCCTAAAATATAGAATGGATGAGAGGCGGAACACATGATCAACCGATGCATTATTATGGTAACAACAAGCAAAACAGTTGAAGAGAGATACAATATATGTATAGAGAATAATGGAGTCTGTAAAAGAAGAAGAATAACCGGTCAAACACCATCTTTGTTCTCATATTATCTTTGAAAATTTTGAGTTGATTCATAGTATTTTAGGTTTTTAACTATTTCTCACTAGACTTCCATGTAATTTCATATTTTCATTACTGGATATAGTAAAGACTATGAGTTTTTAGAATTTATTCTAATACAAACCAATTACTACTTTCTTTTCTATAGAAGCTTGCTACCTACGTGCACAATATTAACTTTTATCAGACAATCTTCTTTGTAGAAGGTTAAAAAGTCAAAAGAAACTTAAACACAAGAAATCACAACATCAACCGTTCTTATCTATTAAGAACCAGAAGGTTTTCAAGTATACTTACACAACAAACCTCTCTACAAATCACTCCTCTCATTACAAATGATCCTCACTATAGATTCTCTCATCTAATTTACTCTCATACAACTATATGAATCAAAACAAGAACTGAAGCAAAAATCAAACTCTATGAACAGATGAAGACTATATGAACAGAGAAGAGGATTAACTCGTAAATCTCATACTTTCATACATAACTGAGTATATATATGATATACAAACTATACGGGTCAACTAGTATCCAAATAGATCCGCGTATTAACCATTTTAATATACTACTATTTCAGCCCAATAGATTCACAAAATGTTCAATATATATCCTCCTGCACAAACACCAATATATACAAGAAATATATATAAACAAATGAATAATCAATTAATAACAAACAAAAAAGGATACTTAAAAAGGATATAATTATAAGTTTGCAATATTCACTCTTATAATTCAACACCCCTCCTCAAACTTATAATTCAAATAAGTTCAATACTTATTCTGAAATGGATCAACAAGACCCAATCCTTTACAAATCCATTCATGCTGAGCAACCCCCAAAGGTTTAGTAAAAATGTCTGCCAGATTAAAATCTGAACTCACCTTATGTACTTCAATTACTCCTTTTGATACCTTATCTCTTATAAAATGAGTATCAACATCAAAATGTTTTGTTTTCTCATGAAAAACTAGGTTATGTACAAGTTTTATTGCTGACTCATTGTCACAAAAAATTGAAACAGGAGTTAAGCCTTTTAACCCAACATCAAACAGTATTTTTAAAATCCACATAATTTCACAAGAAATAACACCAAGTGCCCTATATTCTGATTCAGTAGAAGATCTAGAAATAGTTTCTTGTTTCTTACTTTTCCAAGAAACAATTGTATTTCCAAGAAATACAACATACCCTGTAACTGACCTTCTAGATACTAAACATTTAGCCCAATCAGCATCAACAAAACTTTTTAAATTTAGATTTCCCTTGGTAATTGAAAAACCCCTTCCAGGATTTAACTTCAAATATCTAAGTAATCTTACAGCAACATTAAAATGAGATTTTCTTGGAGAATGCATAAACTGACTCAAAACTTGAACAACATATGAAATATCTGGACGAGTAATAGTTAAATAAATGAGTTTTCCAACCAACTTTTGAAAAAGAACAACATTTTGTACCAATGTATCATTAGCATCAATTCCTTCTCCTCTAATTACAACATTATAGTCAAGAGGAGTTTTCACAGGTTTACAACCTAACATACCAAATTCATGCAATAATTCCATACAATATTTTCTCTGACTTAAACAAACACCTTTATTAATGTCTATTACTTCAATTCCCAAAAAATACTTTAATTTTCCCAAATCCTTGATTAAAAATTTAGATTTTAAAAAATCTTTTACTTTATTTATTTCTTTATCACAATTACCACTCAAGATTATATCATCCACATAAACAAGTAATATAACAATATTACCATTAGAAGCCTTTATAAATAACGAGAAATCATTTACACTTTGAACAAAACCATATTCAAGTAAAAAACCACATAATTTTTCATTCCACTTCCTAGGAGCATGCTTTAACCCATATAATGATTTCAACAACTTACAAACTTTGTTACTATTATTTTTATTATTGTAACCAAGTGGTAATGTCATATAAACATCGTCATCCAATTCTCCATAAAGAAAAGCATTATTTATGTCTAGTTGAAACAAATTCCAATCAAAATTAATTGCAAGTGAAATAACAATTCTGATAGACACCATTTTTGCAACAGGTGAAAATGTCTCATCAAAATCTATACCTTCTCTTTGATTATATCCCTTAGCTACAAGCATTGCCTTAAATCTCTCTATTTCACCATTAGACTTGTACTTTATTTTATATACCCATTTACAGCCAATAGGTTTTCTATCAGTAGGTAAATCACAGATTTCCCAAGTATTATTTCTATACAAAGCTTCAATTTCTTCATTCATAGCATTTATCCAATTAGGATCCAAAGATGCTTGTGATAAGATTGTGGTTCAACAGATTTATTTAATTGTGTTGCAAAACATTTATTATCTTGACTAAGAAAAGAATAATAACAGACCTTTCAATCCCATATTTATACTTTCCTTCTACAACAAAATCATTGAATTTTTGAGGAAATTTAGACTCACGATTAGATTTTCTTACACCTAGCAACAGAGAATCATGAGTTACAACATTATTATCTAAATTTTCCTCAGAACTATTACTGGGAATGGATACAACAATATCTGGTTGCGAACCAGATGTTTCACAACCATGAGTACCCTCCTGATTAGATGTTGTTGCATCTAAACTATAACTACCATCCACATCAAAATCAGTTGCACCAGATGGTTGATCAACAACTGTATCACCATCCTGATTATTACACCCTAATTCACCACTATTTTGATTTTTATCAAAATTTTCAGAAAATAATAGCTCATCATTGGAAAATGGATCATGATTATTAAAAACAGTTCTCTCAAAGAATTGAGAATCTTCATTTGATTTAGAAGCCAACTTAAAAGGAAAGACAGATTCATAAAATTTTACATCCCTGGAAAAGAAACAAAAACCATTATCAAGACTATATAATTTGTAACCTTTTTTAACATTCGAATACCCAATAAGAACACATTTCTCACAACGTTCAGAAAATTTATCAGTATTGTTTAACTTGGTTGCAAAAGCTAAACAACCAAACACACGAATTTTGTCATAAACTGGAACACGATTATAGATTAATTCAAATGGAGTTTTACCATTTAAAACAGATGAAGGAGTTCTATTTATTAGAAAAGCTGCAGTTAAAATAGAATCTCCCCAAAAAATTTTAGGCAAGCCAGCTTGAAACAACAAAGACCTAGCAACATTCAACAAATGCCTATGCTTCCGCTCTACCACTCCATTTTGTTGTGGAGTGTGAACACAAGAAGTCTGATGAACAACTCCTTTGGCTTTAAGAAAACTATTCATTTTTTGATTAACAAATTTTGTTCCATTATCAGATCTAATAACTTTTAGACTAGCATTAAATTGATTTTCCAATATCATAACAAACTCATGAAAACAACCAAATACTTCATCCTTAGATTTCATCAAATAAACCCATGTAGCTATAGTGAAATCATCTACAATAGTAAGAAAGAATTTAAAACCACCAATACTAGCAACTTTATATGGACCCCAAACATCTAAATGAACAAGTTCTCCTAGACAAAAAGACTTATGTTCACTTAAAGGAAAAGATTCTCTAGTTTGTTTAGCCTTATGGCAAACCTCACATGGCATAACTGATTCATTATCAAAATTTAAAACTGATTTTACAGTACTTAGAGCTTTATCAGCAGGATGTCCCATCCTATTATGCCATGTTAATTTTGATATAAAACACTTATGACAATTAACAACAGAATTTGACCTACCTAACAACTGATTTTCCA